AGCTGCTACCGCCGACCTTCTCGTAAACCTTCTGAGACCTTTTTTTATTTTTTATTTTTTTTGCCCTCGCCCACCCTGGGTGGGTTGTTTTTTGTTGTGGACTCAGTTTTTGTGGTTTCTGGCCCTCCTTGCCTGTTTCCCCCTCCGCCCACCCTGGGTGGGTTGATTTTTGTTTCCCTTGTTTCCCTAGGTCTGATCTGAAGCGTCTGGTATCCGCCCTTGGGGGGGTACTGTTGGGATCTGGAGGTCTGTCCACCTTCCTCCAGCAGAGGGCGCCTCTTGGTCTCCTGGAGCTGAGCTGAGGACCACACCTGAGATCCATCAGTCATCAGGAGACCAGCTTATAAGCAGCAGCAGAACTACTCTTCGGCGCCAGAGTGTTAAGCTACCGGTAGTTATGGTTAGCAATCCTGAGCCAACACAGCCTGCCTGATTCTCTGACTTCCAGAAAACCTGATTTGAACCTAACCAGTTTTCTGTCCTTTCTGCCTCCTAGGAAGAACCCTGACTGAAACCTGGAGCTCTGGAAGAGCTTCTCAGCAGAAACCTGCCTGCCTGCTCTCAGAAGCAAGACCTGGAAATCAATCTGTCTGTACCAGCCTGCCAGCTCTCAAGTAGAAAACTTGGAGAAGCTCTGAATAACTCACAAGCCTGAAGCTAAGTTCTGTTGCTGCCTAGCCATCTGCCAACTTCAAGCCTCTGGACCCTCCTGGCTCCCCCTCTCTGTTGCTCAGTTCATCTTCAGATCAGAAAACCCTATCGTGATTAATCCTGGATCTGATATCCCCCCCTGGATCTGAAATTATTATTGTGGCTTGTTTAATAAACTGTTGAATTCTTTCCCTGTCTCAGAGTGTGTTCTGCACGTGGGTTACAGTAGGAACCAGAAAACCCATCATGACATCATTAAATGATCAGAGATCAATATCCTTACCCTTTTCAACCTTTCCACCATCTCTATCTATTTTTCGAGATCTGTCTTCAGGTTCAATACTACATCCTGATAAAGGGGTCAAATTAGTTTCAATATTTTTCGATTTTTTTAGTTCTAAACATCAGAATACACAATTTATTATTCTATTACAAAACAGGAATACCATTTATTGACTAAGAAGCAAGATCTTATTGCTCAAATGCATCCTTTTTTGAAATGTTTCAGTATGGTTTTTCCCTAATCAGTTTTTAAATAATTAGATTGACCTATTCTATAGATAAACATGTTTGGTGTTATACTCTTGGACAAGAGATAAGAAAACCACATAGTAAGTTTATGTGGTGCTGCAAGAAAGCAAAATCTCCAGGATTCAAACCCAAACTAAGCCAGGGTTTTTCTATGATAACTTCCTTTTTGTTTATGTGCAGGCTTTCAGTTTTTCTTCTGCGTTCCCTAAAGTTATATTTTAGGATAGCTGTCTAACTAGTCAAGCGAGTGTTTCAAGGTTTTTCCCAGTTCAATTATTTCTGTTGTGGCCATTGACTTTATTACAGTATATGGTTCATTTAACATCCTAAGTTATCAAATCATGCAAAGTAAATTAGTCCACAAATCAAGTTGAGGGTTAGAAATTGCAATGGTGACAAATTAAACATTTCAACAGAAATGTATGAAATACTTTACAGGAAATGCTGAAGTTAGTAACATAGAGTTTGCTAAATTAAAATGGGATTTTCTTTAGAGCCAAATAGAGACTGATTGTTACTTCATCCTATTTAAACAGTACTTTTTCTACTTTTTTCTTCTTTGTATTTCTTTAGCTCAAACAACAGTTGGAAATGCAAGCACAACACGTAATTCCTATCACAGTGTGTTTGACTGATAAGTCACATAATTTTCCAAGGCTTGTTGTCTAGTTACATAGAAGTTGCAGATACAGCTGAGCACTTGGAGGGAGCAAGAGGCAATGTGAGTGCATCACTGCAGCGGAATCCAAGAGCGATGAAACTAAGCGTTCACAAAGTCATGCATGAACGCTGCCAGCAAAGAAGAGTCCGTGCACTTAAACTTACACAGCCCTGAAGATGGTGGTATATTCCTGCACGCTGCAGCTCTTCCCAGCACTGCGTACCACACCAACGACCTGGAGATTGTCCGAAGGCTGCTTTGTGCCAAGGGAGAAGGACTCTTCTGAGATCGGCCAGTTCCACGCCATCTCTCTCCTGAGTGTAGAAGCCAAGATCTTTTTCTCGGTCTTGGCGAGAAGAATAACTAACTACATGACAACAAATGGGTATGTCAACACCTCGATCCAGAAGGGGGGGATTCCAGGGTTCTCTGGATGCCTGGAACACACCACCATCCTCAGCCATCTGATCCAGGAGGCCAGGGGAGCAAGGGCAACCTACCAGTTGTCTGGCTGGACCTCGCAAATGCATATGGGTTCATGCCCCATTCCCTCATTAACAAGGCTATGGAGCAGTACCACATCCCCGACAAATCAGGTTGATGATTAACAGCTACCTGGGGTCATTCAAGCTGCGGTTCCAGACTGCCAAGTTTACCACTGCATGGTAGTTACTGGAGAAAGGCATTGTAACAGGATGCACAGTATCCCCCATTTTGTTCATCATGGGGAATACATCATGTGATTATTGAATACATCACATGATGTATTCAATAAGGTCTCTATAATTTTCTTCTTTCATCTGCACAATATTGCAAAAATTAGAGATATCCTGTCTTGAGGTGATGCTGAGAAACTAGTCCATGCATTTGTTACTTTAAGGCTGGACTATTGTTATTCTTTACTTTCAGGAAGTCCACAAACTCTAGTTAAAAGCTCTCTGCTGATCCAAAATGCTGCAGCCAGAGTTCTGATGAAAATTGAAAAGAGAGATCATATCTCTCCTATCCTAGCTTCTCTTCACTGACTTCCTGTTAATTCCAGAATACAATTTAAAATCATCCTTCTTTGTCATGATTTCAGCCTCATTTTGGTTTTTAATCATCTAAACCACAGAAGGTCCACATATTGTAGTTAAAAGCCTTCAGCTGAACCAGAATGCTGCAGCCAGACCTCTGAAGAAAGTAAAAAAGACAGATCATATCTCTCATATCCTAGCTTCTCTTCATTGGCTTCCTGTCAAGAATACATTTAAAAACCTCCTTCTTCACTTACAAAGCAGGATTTTGTAAGTTCAAACTCTAACATTATCCTCTCTCTGCTTTTTCTCATAGTAGCTTCATCTTGTCTGTCTGTTTGCTTGTGATTCCATCCTGGACAGAAATATCAGCTGTGCTGCTGCCATCAACACCTTTGTTTATAGATGAGTCAATGCAATCAGATGGTTTTCCTTAAATAGAAAACTTTGAATCAGTTTCACTGTATGATCTGGTTGAATTATCTCTGTAAAGTGCCTTGAGATGACATGTGATGTGAATTAGCTCTATATAAATAAACTGAATTGAATTGAATTTGGTCAATGTGAATTAATAAAATGTGAAAAATTATTTGACAACATTAGGCTGAATGTAACTCTATGTCTAAATTGTCAAAATTCTTAAGAGTTCCAATAGTTTTCCATGTATCTCATAAAATTTTAAACTGCAGGATTATATTGAATTTTTACCTTTTTGACATACATAGGCATACATATTAACTCAAAGCGGTGTACTGACTTCAGATCAACAGTCTGTTCGATCACCAGCTGTCTAAAGGTTACCTGCTCTTTGAGGTCTGTCGCTGCTGCCTGTTTGCCTGACGCACCCAGGTCTTTAAACCACAACATAACCACAACACATGCTGGACACTTCTGTGCTTAAAATTAGATATTTATATTCTAGCTGGGTAGAACTCCTCTCCTTTAAGCATTTAATATCAAATCAGACTTCCTGATTTTAGTCACCTACTGTAAATAGATTTTCAGTGTGTCATTTAGGACAACTAAAGGCTAAATACAGATATTTTTAATCAGAGCAAAACAGACTTATTACACTATATATATATATATTTTTTACATTAGTCAGAAGTTTGCTTTTCAGCAGCCTAATTTAAACCTGCAATAGAATGGTTTAGAATAAACAATGTATTTATGTATTGACAAAGTTCAGACTTCATCATCAAAAATAAAGTATATAAAAAAAAACTTCAATCCCACCTGCCTGAATCATTTCCCAAAGAAATATGGCTAAACATGTAAACCACTCCCCAATGGCATACAGCTCTAGTTGCAGAAAAATGGTGTTCAACAAAGAATTAACTAATTTGAGGTGAAATGAAAAGAACTCCACATTGTGCAGATTTGTATTTCTTTTGAAAACTGAAAACCTTGAATAATCTTCATCCTTCTTCACAAGTATGCACAATTTTCTATTGCTCTGACTAATAATGGAACATGAGAAATGTGGAACAGTTCAGTTATTCTGTTGTTCTTTAGATTTTTATCACAGAGGTTAAATGAATGACAGTGTTTTCCTCCACAATGATCAGCATCTTCAGTGTTCAAGTGTGTGTTAAGAATTTGTTGACATGTGTTTTTTTTTCTTTAATAAATTGAAATGGGTCCTGCTTTTAATCATATAAAAACTTTTTTGGAGCAACACCACATCAACAATTTATACATGTGTGAAAAAGGAAATAAGTATATTGCATTTTTGGAATGTTTCACTTAATACATCATGACTCACTTTAAATCTCCAAAGTGCATAAAGCATAAAGCATAAAGCATAAAGCATTGATAAAATAAAAAATCAAATTCAAGGAAGCTTACGTCACAACAAAATGCACTTGAATGCATCTGATCTGATGTGGCACCCACCCAGATTCACACACAGACCGACCCCGTGATGTGTACTGAGGGATGTATGCTTCCATAATACCCTCTGATGCATGCGGGGGCTGGCAGACCAGTGACGCACTAACTCAGGCTAACCTTTAAAACCTACCACATGCATCACACACATGCAGATCTCCCTTACAGAGAAGGGCACCTCTCAATATCACAGGTGGGAGAATAAAAATTGTTGCATTTTTTTGGAAATCTTTGATCAAAGATTTCAGAAACTTTTACTAAATTACATATTTTGTAATTATTTTAAGTAGACTGATTTTTGTGCAAAGCCTGCAGCTGACCATGTGGGTCCTTGGGAAGATAAGGGAGAGCATGGAGAGCATTCCTCTGGAGCTGGATCATTACATTGGAAGGAGGGATGAGGATGCTTTTTTCTGCTCAAAGGTCAGCGTCTCTCAGAATCTTCACAATAACATCATCACTCCAGATAACATCCCTGAGTTCTGTCTGCCTCCGAGGCTTTGCAAAAGACACCCAATGCTGGAGCCTGAAATGACCCCTCTGTCTCTGGACAACCAGAAGCTGACACCAAAGAGCTTGACTTCTTCAAATACTATCCAAACTAAAAAGAAGATGAGGGAAAACAATGAAGATCTTCAGGATGCTCCAAGAAAACCTTTACCGTTCTCTGCAGAGTGTTATGGTCTGGCAGGGGTGTATGAGAGCCCCAACACTAGAAGGAAAGAATCTTTGTTTCATTCAAAACGGCCCATGTACACGTTCGAAAGAAGAATCCCTACATCAAAGCCCAGACAGGTGAAGGAAATGACCTCACTAAAGAAAACTCTGTCAGAGTTTCTTCCAATGCTTGCATCCAAAAGCTTCTCGGAAGCAGCAGAAGCTGGAGCTCCTTCCATTATCACAACACCCAGAAATGTCCCATCCAGAAGCTGCCGTCTTAAAGAAACAGTGTCCTGCCCTTCGTTGATTGATAGCATAGAGAAAAGCAAGAAGCCAAAGAAATTAGGACCAAGCATATCGACTTCTTCCTCCAGCAAATCATCTTTGAAGAAAAACCCACCGGGCCTGCACCCACCTGTCCTCCATCCCCTGGACTTCCTCCACTGCCAGAAGAGACTTCAGCATGAACACATCCTTCCTTTGCAGAGCAGAGGCAGAGTTCGCCTCTCCACTGAGCACACTACATTCTCTAACGGTACATGCTCAATCTCTTCCACTATTAGAGTGCGTATAATTTCTGTAGAAGGCCTGCTGGATCCAAATGAGCAACAAACCCTGAACTGCGCTGTGAATCTCTGCCTAACACCAGGAAGGCTGCAGCAGCAGGAGAGTGCTACCATCAGGAACTGCCGCTGTCCTGTGTTCAATGAAGATTTCTACTTCACAGAGCTGAGCCAAAAGGATCTGCTGGAGCTGCAGCTCAGGTTAAAAGTGCTGGATAAAGCTGCAGCAGGAGCATTGAAGAGGGGAACTTTGATCGGGGTGATCTGTAAACCACTATCCCACCTATTATGGTGTGGAGAACAGATGTAAGAGCAGATCTGGATCAGCTATGTCCTGCAAAAAATATAACATCTTTAATTTGTTTTTGCTTTGTTTTGGTGTTGATACTGCATTGCATTTTTTCACTGCTTTCATCACCTTAAGATATTTTAGTCACTCTCAATTATAGCTTCTGAAAAAACAACATTAGTCAAATGCACAGAAATGCTAAAGCACTAGATTTTTTCACAAAAATGTAAGACTCACTGAGGAAATGTCCTCACAAATCTAGAATAGTTGCAGTACTTAGGAGTGGCCACCTAGTGGTTAAGGCATAGAGCTTAAAATCCTGAGGTTCTGAGTTCCAAACCCACTCCCACAGACTGCCACTATGGGTCTCTGAGCAAGATCCTTAACCCCAAACTTCTCCCCGGGGTTAAATCAGGCATCCCCAAACTCGGTCCTCAAGGCCCCCTGTCCTGCAGATTTTAGAGGTTTCTCTGCTTCAGCACAGCTGGTTATAATGATTGCAGTAGACCAAAAGCCTGTTAATCAGCTTTCAATTAAAATCAGCTGTGCTGGAGCAAGGAAACCTCTAAAACCTGCAGGACAGGGGGCCTTGAGGACCGAGTTTGGGGATGCCTGGGTTAAATGAAGAGGTAAATGTCGCCCAATGTTAAAGGTTCAGGTTTGAGTTCACCATGACACCATTTGTACCAAAATTAGTGTTTTTTAGCGGTTGAAGCTGTGAACTAACTCTGGATCTCTCAACCTTTGGTCCAAAGATTATTACCTCAGTTTTGTTTCAATCTGAAACATGAAACTGAGAAAATTATGGCACATCCATATATTGATCTGCAGTGATGGAACTAACGGCGTTGAAAGTAACGGCGTTACTAACGCCGTTACCTTGTTTTAGTAACGAGTAATCTAACTAATTACTTTGACTGTAACTATAACGCAGTTACCATTGCAGGCACCCCGTTACTGCGCGTTACTCAGGTCGCACAATGAACCTTTTTTCATGATAGGACTCGTGCTCAGCTGCGTGAAGCTGACACCCCACCCACGTCAAAAAACTCTGCAAATAGACTGAATGGTTAGTGCAACGTTAGTGCAGATTTGTGCAGAAAAAAATATTGTTTGTGCTACTTTTGTTTAAGAGATATTAAAGATTTATTTTAGGTCATCCAGAGGTGCGCGCCTTGTCCTGAGAGGGGAGGATGAGAATGGCTGATGAATAGTGAGATTCCGTCTGTCAGTTGAATAGGTGGGTGTTTCTGCTGGCGGGTGTTAACGTACAGCACACACAGAGAGATGGAGAGTGAGGATGACTCCAGCAGCAAAACAGCGTTTTCCACATGGAAATACCGGTGTTACGTAGAGCTGCGTTTCCCCATCACATAACGGTTTCCTCTGCATCTCCACACAGCGCAGGCGGCAAGAGTCACCGCGCAAGCGACAGGAAACGCGCATGCTCGCTAAAGGCGCGCAACAGTCGCCCTGTGCTCGCGCCACAGGAGAACTATGGAGAGCGTGAACGATCAAATGAACCTGACAACAGCCAGAAATGATAGCCTATATGGAGAAAGGGAGAAATCTGGATGGATGGTTGGATGGATGGATGGATGGATGGATGGATGGATGGATGGATGGATGGATGGATGGATGGATGGATGGATGGATGGATGGATACTCTGCCTTCTCAACTTACTGTTTTTTTTATTTTAAACAATATTTGATGGCCTTTGTGGCAGGGATGGAGATCCATATTTTATGTCACACACAGAGTATACATCTAGATAGATAGATAGATAGATAGATAGATAGATAGATAGATAGATAGATAGATAGATAGATAGATAGATAGATAGATAGATAGATAGATGTTGCAGTATCTATAAAAACCCAAACACACAGGATTTCAGAATTAGACATCCCCAGTTATTAATTTCATATACTCACCGGATCTGAATGTCCTGTTATAAAACTTCACATGGCGTTCCCCCCTGATGTCATTTACGTTGAGTTGCAATAAATGCTAAACTCTCTGCAGGTTCTTGTCTTTGTCGTCCGCTCTATTCAGCTGGCTTTGGAAACACACGGCGAGAAGGTGGGGGCTGGGTGGTGAGGTTTACGGGGGCGAGAAACTCAAAAGTAACGCAATAGTTACTTTTACTAGTAACTAGTTACTTTTATTGTGGAGTAACTCAGTTAGTAACTCAGTTACTTTTTGGGAGAAGTAACTAGTAACTATAACTAATTACTTTTTCAAAGTAACGTGCCCAACACTGTTGATCTGTTCTAAGCATATAGCAAATGCTCTGTTGGGTTCATAGTCACATACAGTAGTGACATTGTGATAGTAACTGATCTGGATTTGTGCTATAATCCTAGCCAAGGGGGGCATGTAGATGTAGAATAGGAAGGGCCCCAGAATGGAGCCTTGAGGAACCCCGCATGACATTTTTCTGATCTCTGATTTAAAGTTCCCTGGTCCCTGTCCATCAGGTAGGATTTAAACCAATCCAGTGCTGTTCCAGAAAGGCAGACCCAGTTTTCCAGACAATCGTGTGATCACCAGTATCAAACGCTGCACTGAGGTCCAATAACACCAGCACAGTGGTTCTTCCAGAGTTGGAATTTTTTCGGATGTCATTGAACACCCTAATCAGGGAAGTCTACAGTATTTACTGTTGTTTTATTTTCTATCTCTGTGATGTTATGTTATTATTATGTTTCCAAATGTCTTTCATAAAGGTGAAAAAGTTTTTTTTTAAGCACACACTGTTTAATCCATCACTTACTGGTTTACTGGTTAACTTTAATCTACTTATAACTAGTGCTGACAGGATTCTGCATGAGCTGTTGATTATCAGTCCTTTAAAACTTTAAACATCCAATGATATTGAAAGAATACGATGTATTGAAAATAGAGGATTTATTGGAGAAACAGGCACAAACACAAACACACTGACGCCAGGTGCCAAGTGTAAATGTTTAGCTCTAACTTATGTAGAAGTTTGACTTTTGTCAGATTTCATCAATGTTAAATATGTACTTGTTGCTTGTCTTCAACATTTTAATGAATGCTCATGTTTTCTGTTAAATGTGTGTTCTTAAATCTGTAGAAAGCAGATCTGATTAAGACAGACCTATGGTAAGATGTTCAAATTATGATGAAATGTATAATATCATTGTGAGATGTTATGCTCATCACTATGTGCAAAGAGAAGAATCAATATCTTTATGAAAAACAAAAATATGAATACGAAAATGTAATCCCAAAAAAAGGAAGCTTTTTTGAAAATGTATTCAATGCAAAGTTTTATGGAAAATGTTTGTTTGATACAGTTTGGCTTTTATATTGTGGTCACAGAAAAAAATATGTCCTGTGGTGTTTTTAGGTAAAGATTAGTTAAACTTCTTATGTCTTGTTCACATGGATTCATAAAACCCAAAGTTAAAACACTCTCCAATTTGATCTGAAAATAAGTCAGGCTCTTGTATGATTAAATAGCTGATTAGCGTCTCACAGTTATTCAATAAATTTGCATGACATTTGTGTCAGGCAATTTCCCTATTTCTATTATCTAGCAGGGCTCTCTTTCAAAACACTTATGATGGCACTCCAACATGTACTATATGATAAAAAACAGAAATTATTTTGATTATCCATCAAATGTTTTTTCTCTGGATCTGAAACTGGCATCAACTCATTCTCAAATGTCCTCAAACTAGCAAGAAAGTGAAGGATCACAAGGTTGCTCTGTTGTTTTGATACCGCTAGACCAGAGGTCTTCAACAGTGGGTCCGTGACCCCTATGGGTCCACAGAGGTACTACATGGGGCTCGTGAAAGTTTTAATTGATCAGACTTTTTTTTTTATATTCCCCCTACAATTTTTTCCACTAATTGAAATGTCTTTAAATACAAATTAACATGAATTCAACACACTGTAGTAAACAGATAAATGGAGGCAGAAGATTTCTTTCAGTCATCAATGCACACATTCAGCGACACACATTAGACATTTTTAGACATTAGACAGATTTTATTTGTCATTTTGTTTACACCAGTGTAAAGCAAAAAGAAATTTAGTTTGGAACAGCTCTCTGGACAATTTTATCTTTTTTAAAACACACAGGAGCTCTTTCAAGCTGGGCACCATTTTATTCACAACACCTGTCCCATCAACGAGGAATCAGAATCAGAAATACTTCAATAATCCCAGGGCAAAATTACTTTCGTTACATTACACCACCTGTAATACAGTGACTATTGGACCAGTTCGATATAACACAATTTCATATATAATAAGTGGGTCCCCGTTCCATCTCGCCATCAGTTTGGGGGTACTTGGCCTGGAAAAAGACCCCTGCTCTAGACCATGACTTGTTTTGGAGAGGGAACCCATCTTACATCTCATTGTTAAATGTGGCTACTATTGACTAACTACCACTTAAAGGGGGTAGTATTGAACTACTAGTCTTGGAGGCTAATCATTTGTCTTACCTCATAGGCTGGCTTAGAATATAAAAGAAACTGGAATATCCTTAAATACCACTCAAGTGGGAAATTCAGGAGTGTCAGTGGCAAATAAAAAAGTTAACCAAAATGGTAATCAAAAATTAGAATAGAGTGTACATATCTGATCATGCTAAAGGAAAAGAACCACCAACCATTCTGGTTAAACTACAAAAAAATAAATAAATAAATAAAAAATATTGATCAAGTACATAACAATATGGATGTTACTAGTTGAGCACCTAAAGGCAGTGCAAATAACGCCATAATTAATTTTTCTAATCCGAATGCAAAAAAAAGTATAATAATAATAACCATGTCTTCGTTTCACGCCCATATTCTTCAGAATTATGGGAGTATATGCTACTATAACCTGCCATACCGAGTTCTCACTCAGCAGTTACGGCGTGACGTAACCAATGAACGTACGGACCTCCTTTCCCACCGCTAGACGTCTTACTAATAATTCTGACGTTGAGGCAGCTACATGAAGTCCACTGGATGTAAACATGGTGATACACAGATGAAAACAGCGCCAAAATGGTCCTTGAAAGTGTGGTCGTTGACGTCCTAAACCGTTTTTTAGGGGACTATGTTGTGAACCTTGACAGCTCGCAGCTGAAGCTTGGCATATGGGGAGGTAACCGAACTTGTATTTGTCTTTCACCAGTTACCTAGCAAGCTAGCATGCTACATGCTAGTAGCGTCAGCCACTAGTCCTGTGTGCTGGAAGAATCTCTCAGCTGTCAGTCTCACTTTCTATATTCCAGTTTGTCTTTTATTGGTCTATTCTCATCTCAGCGTTTTTAAATGAAATAATAAGTAATTCGTGTTTTTAACTGCAGAAAATATCTCTTGGTATTATATTTATTTGAAAAAGATA